CGATTGCCGTCGCTTATACCCCCGCCACGCCGATGCACCATTGCGGGTATATTATATAAACCGAGCAATTGTTGCTAACATTAGATTCCGCCGTGAGCCAGCAACCGATCCGACCGATTCTCCGCTGCTTCCCGCAATCCCACAATCGAACAACCAGGAGGTAAAGAGTTTTCTTTGGCTCCGCCGAGTGAAGCATTTAGGCGGTTGACTCGATCTTCCATCCGAAAACCTGTGACACCGGAGTGAACCAGGGTAAGAGAGCTCTTCTCTTACTCGCCAAGGGTCTTAGCCACCCGGTGCCGTCTCCCGCCTACACGAATCGATGCGCCAGGATATAGAGAGTATTTCTCTATCTCCGCTAAAGATCTTAGCCGCTCGATATCGCGCATAGTCGCGCTCCAGCGCCGCGTGCGATTACCGCCGCCGCTGTCCGAGCTAACGATACCGCGTCAACCCACGCCGCGATCGCACACCGTATCCCCGCGAGCCTGCGCGCCCGCCGATCCGCGAACTCCGCGATCTCTGTATATCGCCGCTATAACCGCGTCCGCGGACTCCGCGATCTCTGTATATTGCCGCTATAACCGCGTCTGCGGACTCCGCGATCTCTGTATATCGCCGCCTTCGTAACCGCGTCCGCAATCTTTTGTACATGCCTACCGCCTCCGCGATCACCTCAATGTATTTACGCTTAATTGAATAAGCTCTGTTACGTTTTTATATTTTAACCGTGTCTTGTGTCTTCCTCCGCACCTACTCCGAACCCTGACCAGCTGCGAGCTAGATCCGCGCTTCGGAAGCTAGGTTGTTTTAACTCTAAGCAATTAACAAAATATAGCCTGAATAAAAATATAATTGTTTTAATGAATATTATTTGATTAATATGACAGTATTAATCGACTTTTAGTGGTGGCAATTGTTTTGTCTGTTTTTAATGTAACGTGATATCTGGAATAAAACAATGGGCGCGCAGAACAAACCCGCAGTAACAAGGTTGCGTTCGGAAACGTCACCCGGGTACACACGGGTATACTCCCTTCTCCTTCTAACTCGCTGAGATAGAAAGAGAAGGGATTATACTCGTGTACACTCGGGTGTCGTTTCCGAACGCAGCCTAATTGAATGTGATTGGTTCTTACTTTAAAACCAACAATCGATATAGAATGTTGGTAGGTTGACAACTCAGCAGTTGTTCTGCCAAACGCGCGACCATTCTTTTATTACAGATTATATTCATTAATGCGGATATTATGTTGATATGTATTGTCATTATTCCAGGGTATACAAGCATTAAACAAGAAAATGAACAAGAAGAAACGGAAGTAGTTTATACGAGTGAATTCGACCATAATAAGACGCATAATGAAGGTTGGTATATACATTCTATGCGTATTTTTATTCGCGCGATTAATATATATAATATATATATATATATATATATATATATATATATAGCAAAAGGGCAAAAGCTGGCTTGATCTCAATGTTTAGTACGTGTTTGAGATCGCAACAATTAGACGAAGTCGCGTTCGGCTGCATGTCAGCACATGCACGCTCGCAGTAAATTAATATTCGCGTAAAATGTCGCATAAGAATTGTCACGGGAATATTTGGTATAGCATGGATCTTTCGGGATTAGCTTTCTAGAAACTTTAACATTGTTATCGATAATAAAGTCAAATAACAACGCTAGAACAAAGGAACGATCCATGCTATACACAAAGCACTCGAAAACAGGTGACGTCGGCTCCATGACGCAGACTCCGACGGCCAATCACCCTCCCAAAATTCTAGAAAATCTGCAGGGAGGGAGTTTCGCCTCGGAGGTGTTAAAAGGACCGCCGCTGCGCCGCGGAACCGATTTCGCTCGCAGATCATAGTAAAACCGCTTTTCGTACTCCGCTTTGCACACCGCTTTTCGCTATTCCGCGTTTCGAACACGCTTTCGCCGCGTCGCTCGCCGTAGCCTCTGTGCGCGCTTCACGGCTTCCTTGGCTAAAAGGAAAAGAACTGTAAATAATTGTACATTATAGACATTTTCGAATATATTTGTTTTATTTCACAATTCGGTATTTGTTCCCTTTTTTTGTAGTCGTCTTCTACCGCGCGCTCTCGAACAGTACGCATAGAGACTGCGAAAGCATGGCCTATCGATCCTTTTTGACTAGAGAGGAGGGCATTTATTATATATATATATTAGGGTGACATTTTGGAGCAACTTTTTTTTTCATTTTACGAATAGCATATATACTTGCAGGAAAGTAAAATAAGATACCTGTTAAAATTTTAGCCCTTAATATTAATATTAACAAGTCGCTCATCGCGATTTTTTATTTTTTATTTAGTAAAATAGAAAAAATTTTATAACTATTTAACAAACAGTAATACAGCATTGCGTCACATAGATTTTCTGTAGTAAATTTACCGCTCTACAAAAAATATCTCTTATCATTTTTTCATAAATTCAACTGTTTAAAAGATATTCAAAGTTAAAGTTTGATAAATTTTATAAAACTTGTTTTTGCTTTTTATGAATGTTGTATAATATCGACTATCAAAAATTATGAAATAAGAAATACATATTTTTGTAGAAAATTTAACGATCTACAAAAAAGGTCTCTTATGTTTTTTTCATAAATATAACCATTTAGACAATATTAAGGTTTAAAGTTCAAAGTATAAACCTTAATATCGTCTAAATGGTTATATTTATGAAAAAAAAATAAGAGACCTTTTTTGTAGATCGTTAAATTTTTTACAAAAATATGTATTGATTATTTCATAATTTTTGATAGTCGATATGATACAACATTCATAAGAAGCAAAAACAAGTTTTATAAAATTTATCAAACTTTAACTTTGAATATCTTTTGAACGGTTGAATTTATAAAAAAATGATAAGAGATCTTTTTTGTAGAGCGGTAAATTTACTACAGAAAATCTATGTGGTGCAATGCTGTATTACTGTTTGTTAAATAGTTATAAAATATTTTCTATCTTACTAAATGAAAAATAAAAAATCGCGATGAGCGACCTGTTAATATTAATATTAAGAGCTAAAATTTTAACAGGTATCTTATTTTACCTTCCTGCAAGTATATATGCTATTTATAAAATGAAAAAAAAAGTTGGTCCAAAATGACACCCTAACATATATATATATATATATATCAATGTTACTATATTTATGTGTAAATCAATCTTTAATTACTCTTTGTAAATATATTTCTTTTTATATAATCTCAATTTGTAAATATTTATTTATTCTTAATTCTATATGTGTGTATATATATATGTATGTGTGTGACTAGGTATTCTACGTGTATGTATATGTGATCGGGTATTTTGGGAAAATAAAGTAAAATAATTTCGCTTTCGCGTCTCGCACATCGCCAGCTTACACTAATTCTAGTGTTTCGTTCTCGCACACTCGCGCACGCACTTATCTCGCACCCCATGATCATCCTTCCATACATATATATATATATCTATAACCTTATTTTACATCGCACGATATTTATTGGTAACAGCTTTTCTCTTTTTATTATTACTTTACGCTGTGTTTCGCACCACACATGTCTATATACACTTTGTCTTTTTGTTTTTAGTTTTTTCGCCCTCGCTTTGATGGTGCCAAATCCATCGGCCCCGACCTTGTCGCGTTGACCCGGTCGTCGTTCTCCTCCTTCGGCCGCTTCCTCAGCTTCACCATGGGCGTCGAGAGTACCCGGTAGTCCGTGATGACGGGCTTCGGGTTGATTGTCATCACCGTTGCCGGCATCAGTTCAGCTGTTGGCTACAAGGACAAGGCAAGACAAGGCAATAAATAAAAAGGAAGAAGTTGGAAGAAGTGTTATTACTGTTTATTAAGGCCGAGTGTTAGATAGGGTAATATTGTAAAAGATCATTTTTATTATAATTTTCTCTTAGTGTCGAGATGTAAAAAAACAAAACTTTTAAATCAGATTAAAAATATGTAGTCAATTCGCTCGGTTTAAGTAAAATTTATGAGGAAGAGTCAACGACCAATAACGAGCTAAGATAAGCATTAAAATGTTATTTGACAGCAAATTCAAGTTTATTGACAATTACAAGAACATTGAATGTTTCGGCTTACTTAGCTTTCATCAGCAACAAATCATATGAGAAATAAACAATAATTTATTGCTGATGAAAGCTAATAAATCATATGAGAATTACACAATAATTTATTGCTTGTTCGAGAACGAGCTCGATCGTCTATTTGGTTTTCGTTTCGTCGCGCAAACGAAGCTTCGAGAAGCGTGCTTCTCGCGTGATCATCGCACGGCCCTATTCTTCGGTTGCCGTGATGGGCGGTCCTTTACTTGTTTTTCGTACAACCAGCGACGATCAGGCGAGAGCGTTACCGTTCGGAGCAACGCGACGCGTCGTCAGTCGGCGTATCGAAATCATCGGGCAAGCTCGTCGTCTCCGCGAATCCCGAAAATCTTGGTGATCGCGCGGTGTTTCTCCGGCGTGTATAAGCGAATTATAACACGATCCTACATCTCCGTCAGTGGCAGTGAAACACACGGGATTCAGTCACCGCTATTGCTTCTGCAGAAAAACGAATAAAGTTGTTCGAAGTACCCGACGGCTTGCCCGCGAGTCAAGTGGGACTCTACGCCGCGAATGACGTCACGCGCTACTGTGACCGCTCGTTCGACTCGAGACTGTCTAAACTCTCAGGCGAGAGAGACTTAATTGTGAGAATAATAAATTGTGATGTTTGACAAGTTTGTCTAATTCTGACTTTATTTGTGAGTGCCTACTCCGATCCTCTAGCGATTCTCATAATCGCGTCACGCGCATTCCGGGCTCAGCGCTGGGCCGTTCCGGCGAATCGTCTGGCGAGTGCAATTGACATCTCGAGACAATTGCGACTCGCGCGCTTTCTCACACATAGAAGAAGCTGGTCTTTCGAGCCGGATCGTGAGTGCGTGTGGAGGAATCAAGCAGCTCCGGAATTCTGTCTCAGCATGACGGAACTGATGGAGAATCAACTCGTGTTGCAACGCTCGATTGAGCGAGCGCTCGACAATTTTAAGAAGCTCGGGCGAGCGAACTATACGGTGGCGAAGATCCGATCGAGAATCTCATCCCTCAAGGAGCTCTGGGCTCCCTATCAAGGAAATCACGCCAGGCTGTCGGCTTCCACCCCCGCCTCGACCAGAACTACGTTGGACTACTTCGTCAAGGAGCAGTTCGAGAAAACCGAGGAAACCTACAACGCCGCACTGGACTACATGAGCGAATGTCTTGCAGAAATTGAGCCTCCTGTGAGTCCGCACCAATCTCTTGACTTCGGGCATTCGAGTCAACTCGCGTCCGCGACTTCGCTCTCTCACCTTCCGCCCATTCGCTTACCGCCTTTCGACGGAAATTATTCGGAATGGGAGACATTTCGCGATCGATTCGTTGCGCTAATCGTTGATAATACTGATCTGAGCAATTTCGCGCGGATGCATTATCTCTCGTCGTCGTTGAAAGGCCGCGCGCTCGAGGCCATCGCGAACATTGCGATTACTGCGGATAATTTTCAGATCGCGTGGAACACCTTAAAGGCTCGTTTCGAAAATAAACGACGTCTCCTCACTAATCATCTGTCCACGTTGCTCGGCCTGTCGGCACTCAGTCGCGAATCTGCTTCCGACTTACAAACGTTGCACGATAAAATAAATATCGCAGTCTCATCATTAAGAAAATTGAATCGATCTCCGGAAGATCTATGGAACGACTTTCTCGTTCACCTTTTGACTCAAAAATTAGATGCTGCGACACGTACAGCGTGGAATCTCCAAACGAGCAATGTCGACTCGCCGCCGGCGTTCGCAGATCTCAAAAAATTTGTAACCTCTCGTATTCGCGCACTTGAGGAGTGCTCGCCGACCTCCTCTCATAAACCTGCGTCGAAATCTGCGAATTCATCGCATGTCAATGTCGCCACGGCTTCCGCGAATTCTCCGTCAGCTTGTCCGCTTTGCAAAGCGCGTCATTATTTGAATCTGTGCCCAGAATTCGTCGCGAAGAATCCGCAGCAGCGACAAGAAATCGTTAAACGTTTCAAACGTTGTTTCAATTGCATGAGTAGCAATCACTCGGTACGGGATTGTAAAAGTAAGTACGCGTGCCGCTCGTGCAATCAGAAGCATCATTCAATGCTTCACGTTGATGCGGAGACAAGCTCTGATTCAACGACGATAACGCCATCAGCGTCGCAAGCGTCCCCATCAAGCACACCGAAGGTCGAGGTACTTTCGCTATTTGCCGCCGCGCAACATAGTCGTAATTTACAAGTCCTTTTAGCCACTGCATGGGTTAGGGTGAAAGTTTCCTCCGGTCGCGTAGCGACGGTCAGAGCCCTGCTCGACCAAGGCTCTCAAGCCACATTCATATCAGGGCATTTAGCTCAATCTTTGTACGCAAAACGCATTCGGATGTCGATCTCAATTTCGGCCGTCGGCGGCACTCACGTAGGTAAAGTACGCCACGCGGCGTCAATCATAATCGCTCCGCGCGATTCAGACAATCCATCTCTGTGTACCACTGCGTACATTCTCGATTCCTTGACGGCATACGCGCCTCGATGCGATGCCGATTCATCATGCCTCGCACATCTCTCCGATTTAGCCTGGGCAGACGCGAACCCGAGCAGTTCCGATCCAATTCACATTTTGATTGGCGCGGATATCTATAACAATATTATTCAAGGGGGCGTCCGAAAGGGTGAAGCTGGACAGCCTATCGCGCAAGAAACGATATTTGGATGGGTCATTTCCGGGCCGCTAGTGTCGGATGCTAATTCACCGGCGGGACGATCCTCCGTTAATATTACCGTACTTCATTGCACAAGTTTAAGGCCTCTCGCCGAGGAAATTCAACGTTTTTGGGAGGTAGAGGAGATCTCTCACACCCGCAAACTCACGCCGCAAGATGAGCAGTGTGAATCTCACTTTTGCGATACTCATTCGCGTCAATCTGACGGCAGATATATCGTGCGTCTGCCGTTCAAACGGAGTCCTCCGCCGGAAAACGGGCACTCGCGATTCACTACCGAACGCCTTTTCAATTCATTGTCACGGCGGTTCCGCTCTAATTCGGAATTAGAAAAGGATTATGATGAATTTATGCGCGAATATGAAACGCTCGGTCACATGCGTCGGGCGCCATGCGCGGATCGAACGCACGATCCATGCGTATATATTCCGCATCATCCGGTCATTCGTGAAACCAGCCTCACGACTCGTTTGCGCGTCGTTTTCAACGCGTCAAGCTTGACGTCGAACGGTACGTCATTAAACGACCACTTACTCGCCGGTCCAAAATTACAGACGGATTTACCCGCAATTATGCTACAGTCAGTTCAAGTTCGTGTACACAGCCGATATTGCGAAAATGTACCGCCAGATTTTGATAGATCCTCAGGATCTCGACTATCTGAGAATTTTGTGGAAGGGTGACCCATCCGATGGTTCCGTCGATTATCAATTACTTACCGTTACATATGGAATGAACTGCGCTCCGTATCTCGCGCTTCGCACGATACAATGTTTGGCCGACGACGAAGGACATCGGTTTCCGCGTGCGGTGACAATTCTTCGCAAGCAGACTTACGTCGATGACGTGCTATTCGGTGGAGATGATATCGCGCTCGTGCGCGAGTCTCGCGATCAACTCGTCGCCTTATTGCGCTGCGGAAAATTCGAGCTTCGAAAATGGGCAAGCAATTCGCCGATTTTGCTCGCGGATATCGATCCGTCAAATCACGGCTTAGCAATCACCAAACAAATCGCGATCAACGATCAACTAAAAGTGCTCGGCATCGCTTGGAATCCGTCGCGCGACGTATTTCAATTTAAAGTATCACTCGAAAGTTCGACTCCTCAGAGCAAACGCGCCATTCTCTTTGCGATTGCAAGGCTTTACGATCCGTTGGGGTGGGTAACTCCCGTCACCGTTTCTGCAAAAATTATCATGCAACAGTTATGGGGGGTTCAAATTGAGTGGGACGATCGAATTCCTGACTCGCTTCTCTATAAATGGAGCATGATCATGCGAAACTATCGCATCTCAATGATCTTCAGATCAATCGTTGGACCGGAGTCACGGCTGACGCATCACATGCGGAATTACACGGCTTTGCCGACGCCTCCACACTCGCATACGCCGCCGCGGTTTATCTCAAAGTGACATCCGCTACCGGTCAAGTCACGATTTCCCTGCTAGCGGGAAAATCCAAGATAGCGCCGATTTCTCCCCTCACCGTTCCTCGTCTCGAATTATCAGCTGCTCTGCTTCTTACGCGTCTTATCAACGTCGTTCGAAATTCTCTCTCTATCAAATCCATTCCAGTTACGTGCTGGACAGATTCTACAATTGTTCTCGCGTGGTTGCGCTCTCATCCATCTCGATGGAAAGTTTTCGTTGCAAACAGAGTGCACGAAATTCAGTCTAACTTACCGGATGCTGATTGGCGTCACGTGCCTGCTCAAGACAATCCCGCGGATTGCGCGTCGCGTGGATTGTACGGCGATGAGCTGCTTGCTCACTCCCTTTGGTGGCACGGGCCATCCTGGCTAGAAAAAACAAAAGAGGAGTGGCCCGAAGAACCTCCGCTTAAGTCTACCGACTCCCAAGTCGAGAAAAAAATCGTCGTTTCTCATATCGCAAAACCTCACTCTCAGTGGGATCTACAATCACGATATTCCCCTCGTGGCCCAAATTAATTCGGATTACTGCATATATATTAAAATTCATCCATGCCCTACGCTGTCACAAAGGCGATAATCAATCTATGCAGTCACCGGGTCACGCCCTCTCATCAGTCGAGTGTAATCTCGCCAAGACATTTTGGATTAAACAAATCCAAGCTGAGCTCTATTCGGACGAAATCAGCAAGCTAATTAAAAATCAAAATGTCGCAGCTAAGAGTTCAATCGTTACCCTCAGCCCATTCCTCGATCAAAGCGGAGTGGTGCGGGTAGGAGGTCGTTTACGTCACGCCCCTTGTCCTTTTCGCGTGCGACACCCGATATTGCTCTCCTCGCACCCACTGGTGCGTCTTATCGTCTTGCAAGCGCATCTACGCGCTCTGCACGGAGGGACACAGCTCACTATGACTATCCTCCGCCAAGACTACTGGATTATTCGCGCTCGAAGCCTGGTAAAATCCGTCATTCATAACTGCATAATCTGCGTTCGGGAGCGCGCCGCCGTGCCTATGCAACTAATGGGCGATCTCCCTAAAATGCGCGTTTCGCCCCCGCCACGTAGCTTCGCGCATTGTGGCGTTGATTACGCCGGGCCGGTTAAGGTGCGTGCGTCCGCCGGTCGAGGCATTGCATCACGAAAGGCCTACATTGCCTTATTTATTTGTCTAGCTACGCGAGCGATTCATTTAGAGTTAGTCAGCGACTATTCGTCTCAAGCCTTTCTTAACGCGTACGTAAGATTTTGCTCTCGTCGAGGCCTTCCACACGCGATTTACTCAGACAACGGCACAACTTTCGTCGGTGCCGAGAAGGAGCTCACGATCGCTTATCGATCCGCTCTTCACGACCCTCAATTCTTAAATAAAACCGCGTGCGACAATATTCAGTGGCACTTTATACCGCCATCTGCGCCCCATTTCGGAGGGATGTGGGAGGCAGGCGTACGTAGTGTGAAGCACCATTTGCGTCGCATTCTTGGAAATCACACTCTTTCGTTTGAAGAGTTCACAACTCTCTTATGCACCATCGAGGCATGTTTAAATTCGCGTCCCATTGCGCCCTTATCTGATTCGTTCGATGATTATGATTGTCTAACTCCGGGACATTTTTTAATCGGCTCGGCTCTTACCGTCGCTCCTGAGCCGTCGCTTCATCACCTCAACGAAAATAGATTATCAAGGTGGCAAGTTGTGCGCCACGTAGCCGAGCGCTTTTGGAAAAAGTGGTCTCAGGACTACGTAAACACCTTGCAGCAAAGGAGCAAATGGCGCAACCCTCGACCTTCGCTAAAAATCGGGCAACTTGTACTTTTGCGTAGTGCTGCTTTGCCTCCCTGCAAATGGGAACTCGGGCGTATTACGCGCCTCCACGCCGGTTCGGATGGTCTTACACGCGTCGTTACGGTGAAAACCGCCACGTCAGAGTTCAAGCGTCCGATCGGTCAGCTATGCGTGCTGCCCGTCGAAGATAATGCATCCAACGACTCGTGATATTCCGTTGCGTGTCTCATTCTCTTTGCGTTAGATATAAGTTAGTTATAAGCTGCGTCTCAGTTCGCCAAAGCGGGCGGCTGAGGATCATTGTATAAATAAAAATATGCATCACGTTTATTTGGAAAAGCCTTCTAGCTTTCATTGGTAACTTATCGTTAGGATAGCTCGTATGTGTTAGCAAAACTGCGAATTCAGTAACTTTGCCGTTATTTTCATTTTTTTTGTTGTTTGCGTTCGTAATGTTGAAACTACGTTTCAAAGCGGGCGGTATGTTCGAGAACGAGCTCGATCGTCTATTTGGTTTTCGTTTCGTCTCGCAAACGAAGCTTCGAGAAGCGTGCTTCTCGCGTGATCATCGCATGGCCCTATTCTTCGGTTGCCGTGATGGGCGGTCCTTTACTTGTTTTT